AAACATTTAGCCATTGAAGTTTGATGTTTTCCTCCTATTTTTCCTTTTTTTGCAATGTGTGAAGCAGTTCTCACATGTTGGTCTATCTGAAATTTCTTCTCACATGCTATCTATAAATAAAATAAAAACCTTTATTTTAACCCAACCTTTAAAATATAAAAAGATACAAGGTGTTTTTGGTTAATCAAATAACTGGTTTGGAAAAAAAAACACTCGCTAAATGTTTTAAATGCAGTATTAATCCACAAATTAGTTTTTGTTACTAACCATTAGTACATCATATAACTTATTTTAAAATTCAACAAAAGTTTTTTTTTGTTAATTCAATTACAATAAAAATAATTGTGTTTTAGAATAGCTGACTTCATAAAAAAAAGTAAAGGTGAAAAATTTTTCTAAATACACACCATTGTATTGTACCATGGACAATTTTTTCTCACTAAAGGAAGCTATTTTTCATTTAAAAACAACCTACGAGTACTAAATTTCAAGTAAATACGTTTATTGGTTTTAAAGTTATTGTTGTTATTAACTAAAAGAATTTAATTTTTTTTTAATTTTAACACCCTGTATCTCGAAAAGTAAATAAGTTTGACCCCTCATTAACTATATCGTTTTGTTCAATTTTTCGAGAAGTATCTACAGTCAAACGTTGTAAGTGTCATTTGGAAACACCCTGTATGTATGAAATATTAGATATTTAATAGAAAATATTAGATACTTACAATTTTGCCACAGACTGAACAGTAGATTTTTCCCATATCCATAAACAGCTCTTTATAAGGCTTAATCCAAGTTGAAGCACTGGTTGTTTTAGGCATTATAAAATCACAATCTTCCTTTTTGTTACGCACAACGAGTGTTTACGCTTTGAATATCAAAACAAAAATGATTTACAAATCTGAGCATCAAATTAGAAATGTTTAGGTACCTAATTCAATAAACTGGGAGATTTTGGAAAATCCCTAAATTAGGAACAAAACCTAAGCCGTTTACCTGCTGTTAAGATACAATAAATTGTAGATAGATTTGGGGATTAGATCATAAAATGCAAATGAGCGAACCCTTAGCGATTATTCAATAACTGAATGCCTCAGTGACCGAGACTTTCTAAGAATGTTGAGGGCTACTTAAATTGATCTTCTTTGAAATTGTAAATGTTTTGTACCTGTAGAGATTACGTACTTAGATCACTTCTTGATTAAAATGACTACAAAATTTTATACAAGAATTGAAATAAATTGGTATGTTTAAAAATTTTCAAATACAGTATAAAAATCTGAACTTATATGCACTTTATGCAAACTTTTATACAAATATGCCAAAATATCAAATATTTGCATAAAATATGCACAATATGCAAAATATGCAATATGACCTTTGTAGGTCATCTTCGTTATCAGCAATTAGTACTGCATTATCGGCATAGCATAGTATCGTGATTTTATGTGCTCCTATGTGGCATCCGTGTCGTTTTCTTACTTCGTGAATTATTTGATTTATCACCATATTGAATAAAAATGGGCTGAGCAAGTCTCCTTGACGGGTTCCTCCTTTTAGTTCTATGTATTCTGTTTCTTGTGTTGGCATTATAACTTTAGTCTTGTTGTTCTTGTTAATTTCATTAATTGTCCTTATTATCTGATGGTCTTTTTGTTCAGCTTGTAATAAATTTAAGATGTCATTTCGCTTCTACCTGTCAAAAGAATTTTTTAAATCTACAAAGCACATGTATGCTGGTTTTCCATATTCAATAGACTTCTCTATTATTTGTCTGATAATAAAAATTGCGTCTATTGTGCTGCGGTTCTTCCGGAAGCCTTGTTATTCATCTGCCATGTTCGCTTCTCCCTCGATTTTATCTTTTATGACTGCCGTTAACAATTTTAATATACTAGACATAATATACTTGTCAGCAATATTCTAGATAAGATAATTTTTAAGATGGTAAGTGTGTTATAGTTATAACATACTCTATTTTTATTAAAGATTGTAAGTTGTGAAATACTAACATTACATTTTCTGCTGAAATTAATACATTTACTTTTGTTAGAACAAAATTTTATTCTCGATTTGATTGATCATTTTTCTAATGCAGAAATGGTATCTTGTAAAGTTTGTTTAATTAGTTATATGTGTTTTCTTTTACAATAAATTATTAATCATCTGCACTGCTACTGGTGGAGTATCATTTTCCGTCATATTGTTCATAGCAATATTCTGAGAAGTACAAAGGGACGATACGTGGGGATACTATTTTCCTGTATATTTGTTGTAGAAATGACATCGTCTACTTTTACTTGGAATCTTCGAATTTCTGTAAACTTTGAATTATTTCATGGCGCCAAACTGTATCAAAGGCTCTGGTTATGTCAAAAAATACTGTTATGCAACTTTGATTATTTGCTAGCGCTTTATGTATTTTGGACTGGAGGTCAACTGAGTTCTCTAAAGTTGATCCATCTTCTAGCTCTTTGGTCTAGTATTTAAATAAGGCGTTGGATGAATAATTTTTTGAGCACTTTGCTTATTGCAATTACTAACTATACATAAATAAGGCGTTGGATGATTAATTTTTTGAGCACCTTGCTTATTGCACATACTAACTATACTGGTCAGTAGGAGTTTATATCTGAACGTGGTTTACTAGATTTAAGGATAGGTATTGTGTAAATATTATTTCCAGTCTTTGGAAACACTCCTTCAAGTCATATTTTGCTATAAAGTAAAAAGGAAGTTCCATGTTTAGGCGAGTTTTTAAGAAAAATAATAGAAATATTATCTGGACCAGGACCGGAGTTTTAATAAAATTTATAGATTCAGTTAAGTCTTCTAGTTGGCTACATTTATTGGTTGGCTATCATAATTAAATTATACTAATTATTTTTTGGTTTTAAATTGTTAAAACTCTAGAGAAGAGTTTTCATATCTTGAATATAACTTGTAGTATAAAACTAATATATTGGCTACCTCAGATCTAGATGTATAAATTTTGTTATTATATTCTAAATATCTTATTAAAGAGTTTGTGTGGCGTCCTTAAGTTGTGTTAATTTATTTATACCCTAGTGCTGTTGGGGTAGAACCGTTTATTGTTGATAAAAATTTTTACTAAGATTTTTTTTTTGCTTCTTTTATCAATTTTTTACTAATAGCCCTTAACTTCTTATATTCCAGGAGATTTTCTTGCGTTTTTTGTATTTGTATATTTTTCTAAAGCTCTGTGATTCTTCTTTATAACATCTTGTCAGTGATTGTTTCATCACGATACTCTTATACGATTCCTTACGGTTATTTTTTTCGATAAAATGATCTGCTGCAGAAAGTATGTACAAGGGAGAACATTTATTTACTAAGTCGTTTATATTGTCATTCGAAAACGGATCTGAAAAATAATTCAATTAAGTATCCACAAATTGTGTATACGGGACCAATCCTCTATTTCTGTATTTCATTTATCTATATAAAACAAGTAATAAGGCTATGATGACAAGTCACACACTAAACAAATCTAAACTACCAACATTTGACATTTCGATTATATTTTGTCCTTGAATAAATACAGTTGGTTTATTGCTAATTTGTTCTACAAGCTGATGATTCAAATATTGTTAATCAGAAATTTTACTACTTCACAGTAATTCATTTTTTCGCAAAATTGCTAAAAATATAGGTTACTGTATATGTTGTTTAATAAACGTCAGCGGTTTCGCAAAATAAAATAAAATTAAAGCTAAATAAGATTAAATAAAATTAAATAAAATTAAATAAAAGTAAATAAAAGTCAATAAAATAAAGTTAAATAAAATTAAATAAAATTAAATAAAATTAAATAAAATTAAATAAAATTAAATAAAATTAAACAAAATTAAATAAAATTAAATAAAATTAAATAGAATTAAATAAAATTAAATAAAATTAAATAAAATCAAATAAAATTAAATAAAAGTAAATAAAATTAAATAAAATTAAATTAAATTAAATAAAATTAAATAAAATTAAATAAAATTAAATAAAATAAATAAAATTAAATAAAATTAAATAAACTTAAATAAAATTAAATAAAATTAAATAAAATCAAATAAAAATTATTAAAAACAAATTAAATTAAATAAAAGATGTACCTGTAAAAACGATGCTATACTGTTTCTGCTTCATTTTCCATGTAAAATCCCATAAAAAAATTCTAAGGTTCATTCTACTCATTTCTTGAGCATTTCATTCAGTATACTATTATATTGTAGTATGATCTTGTTTAATTATATATTTTAATTACCATCAGTATAACTTTACATTGGCTTCTTTTAATTTTTTATTTTTTAACCGGCTAACATATATTAATTAATATTTGTCAAGTTCTCAGAAATCACTTATCTAAACCAGATGTGTTTGAAAACTATTAGTTTTAACCTCAAAAGTACTAAAATACTTTTATTATATCAAATGTCTTGAAACTGTATCGAAGCTATTGCATTTAGTAATTTTGTAAGCAAAGCTAGATATGATAGCTTTAATTTTTTATGTTACGTTTATTTAAACGTAATCATCGAACATCGAACTAAAAAGGTCTATCCCGACACACAGAGAAACCGGGCGCCCTTACTGGGCGCCCGGTTTCACTTATTCGAGATGCTGAACCTGTTTAGCGTATAAGATGTTACTTCTCCTCGTTGAACACATCTTTAGTGAGCAAGAGCATCTTTTTATGACAGCGTCGCAATGTCGAAACTTTATTTATGGAAGCTGCATTTTATTTTAAAAACATATCCAAAAAGTAAGCGAGTGTTTCCTAAATTGATGACCATTTACAAGTTATGCTAAGAATTTTTCCATATTTTAGAATTACATATATTATATTCCATTATTTATTATTCTAATTAATTAACCCGCTATTTTAAATACGTCCAACGTAATCACTATGAAATGGTAATTTAATCTATAATTTCCAAGAATTTGTATGTTATTATTTCCTGTCTATATTACATATTTTATTATTTTAGCCTGATCAATATAAAAATGTCGGCGTTCAGATTGTTAGCAAATTTGGAGAGGAAGCTGTTGGAGGAAAAATTCAAGTCAAACCCATTTCGATTCCCTATTTGGGAGATGTTTTGGACTTAAAACGAGACGAAAACTTTTCTTTATTTCTTCCTAGACATCGGCGGATCGCCGGAGAGCTTATCAATATCTACATAGGTAAGGCAACTTTAATGTTAGAAGAAAGAAAACCTGCATATACCTACTTTTAATTGATTGTCGATTTATCTCAGAATAACTTTTGAGTACTTTGTTTTAAAAGCACGCTTTAATGTTAGAATTCGTGTTTTCAGTTATATTCTATCATTTATCTGATTCACCAGAACTGATAAGTATTTAAATGTTTCAACTTTTTAAAATTGGTTGATAAATCCCCTAAATTTGGCTTCGGATTTCATTTATTTAATGGTTTTTTCTGTTCAACTGTAGTTGTAAGTTTTATTCTTTTGCGTTGTAATATTTCTTTTTATTATTATTGTACTAATCTACTACTATATATTGTTTATTGTATTAGTTCAGGTTATCGTTCTGATAATATTTTCAAATGCATCTATTAATAATTTTTTTTTTGGGTATCAAAAAATTTAATAAAATCCTTTATAAAGGGTATTTAATTTAAAAACCCAATCGGGCTATATCACAATAACAAAACGTTTTCGGAATCCATGTTCCATCATCAGTGTCCTAAAAAGCATATACCCACTTTAATTTAAAAGGACGTGAAATTAAAATTTTGACCAAGGTTAATACAAAATTTGGTTAATACTTTGTACGGAAGTCCGAACAAAGCAGTCAGTGTAACTTAATGCGTTAGTCTACTTAAGACAGATAAACAACTGCCACAAGACTGGAATACCGGAGTAATTATCTCACTACATAAAAAGGGAGATCAGCTTCAATGCAAAATTACCAGGCAATAACGCTACTCACTGTGGCATATAAAATACTGTCAAATATTGTGTATGACCGATTAAGACCATATACGGAAAAAATAGTTGGGGGATATCAATGTGGTTTCCGCAGAAGTCCACAATAGATCAGATCTTCGTTTTAAGGCAAATCTTGGAAAAGGCTGGTAAATTTAATGCAAACACACATCATCTTTTCATTGACTTTGAGAGTGCCTATGATAGCATCCATTGAGAGTTTTTTAATCATGCACTGAAAGAGTTTAATATTCCAACTCAACTCATTGATATAGTAAAAAAAACACTTAAAGTACAAAGCAAAATTCGAATTCAAAAAGAACTAACAGCTACAATCCATGTGAGAGCGGGCCTATGACAGCAAGATGCCCTATTCTGTATTCTATTCAACATCACATTAAAGAAAATAATTAGGGAGTCAACAGTCAACACCAGAGGAACAATAATAACAAAAAGTGTACAAATATTGACATTTGCAGATAATGTTAATATCATAGCTAGAAGCGAAAGAGAGATGATAGAAGCATTTAATGCGATAGAAAGAGCGGCACAAAACAGTGGCCTAAACATTAACGAAACAAAAACCAAATACATGAAGGCCAGTAAATCGACAGGCCAAAGAAACCTACAGAATCTGGCAATACGAGACTATAACATCGAAAGCGTGAAAAGTTTTACATATCTAGGTTCACTAGTGACCGCAGATAACAATATCAGTGAAGAAGTTAAGAGAAGAATACATATCGCTAATAAAACATATAATTAAACTTCTAAGATCTAACAACATCACAAGAAAAACCAAATGCAAAATGGCGGAAAATCCTAGAACAAGCCAGGACCCAGAAAGGGTTGTCGAGCTACTGATGATGATGAAAATAATAAAGGGGGAGAGCTCGTTGACTTTTCTACTTTTGAACGAATTGATGGGAGTACAACAGTATTGTGAGCAGACGTACAGACGTTTCTAGTTGGCTCCTTTTTAGTCCACTTGTACCTATTATTTTCATAGTAATAATGCTGGAATTGACACACTCTTCTTCATCTTCGCTAGATACCATTTCGAGTATTGTTGCTGTTCATTTTTACTTAGTTCTTGTTCACTGTCCGTAAAATGATTACTTTTTATAATATATATTTTTCGAAATCATCGTCTCGTACCCTTACAGCTTTACGAGAACTATGCATATTAAAATAAGATTAATGGTGACCTTGCGTCTAGTAGACTCCACGACGTAAATATTTCGAAAACTGGACGAGCGAGGTACCATTCATTAACACTTTCGAATACAGTCTAAAAGCTGGGGAGGTACACTGAATTACATATTTATTAATCGTGCGGAGTCTGTGAGACGCATGATCACCAGTTAATGGTTGTAACCAAATACCAGAATGAAATTTTGGCCCTTAGCAGATGAAGGTATGACATCCTGTCTTTTTGGTCGACATAGGCGTAGCATTAAAAAAGTTTTAAATAAAATAATTGTGATTTAAATTGAAATCTGGATAATTTTTTTAATGCCATATTTGGATTTTACGTAAAATTACTCATTAAAGTACATATTATAAGTACATAGATGTATTTTTGCATAATAAGATTCTCTTTAAAATTTAATTGTTTTATATTAATTTACAAAATTCTATTTTTACAATTTTCTTTTAGGTATGCGTACTACAGACGATTTGTTATCTATTGCTGTGTACACCAGAGACCGTGTCAATCCCTGCCTCTTTAATTATGCATTGTCTGTTGCTCTATTGCATAGACCTGATACCCAAAACCTAGATCTTCCATCTTTTATTAAATCGTTTCCTGATAAATATGTCGATGCTAAGGTTTTTGCAAGAGCAAGAGAAGAAACTAGTATTGTGCCAACTGCCACGGCTAGGGTAAGAAACGTATTCATTATGAATAAGTTATTTTGAAATATATACATATATAACGGTAATTCTATTTTATAATATAGAATCCAATTGAAATACCAATGGACTTCACTGCTTCCAATCTCGAAATGGAACACCGACTGGCTTATTTCAGAGAAGACTTAGGGATTAATCTTCACCATTGGCATTGGCACTTGGTTTATCCATTTGATGGTGCTTTTGAAGTTGTCAATAAAAATAGGAGAGGGGAGCTATTCTACTATATGCACCAACAAATTATAGCAAGGTTAGTTTTATCTCTTCAGAACAAATAAATAAACGTTAGATAAAATAGTTAGATGTAACGTTAAAATCAAATTCTTAATATTCGAAGAAATCTTTAATGTCTAATATAAGGACGTTAGTCTAGAAAGTATTTAAAATTTTATATTTGTGCTATTTTTATACTATATTTTGTGTAATAGTTTAAGACTTCTTATCGATGGTAAAGTATAGCCAACCTTGCATCTGTTTCAGGTTCAGCTTCTATTCCTTCCTATTCTTCGCCTTAGTCCTAGTCTTCCTCCACCTAGTATTAAAATCTTCTTTTGGGTCCCGGCTGCCTGCTTTATATTTTGATAGACCTAGTTATTGGGGTAGGCCGAAAAAAACGTTTTTTATCTTGTGTTGCTATACCACGGAAAAGTCGCTACTAGGATAGACTTTTCAATTACAAAAAAAAATTAATTGATTAATATCTTCCGGTCGCGCATTGGTCGTATAGTTTAAAAAAAAGTGGTTGTTTTTGAAATTTTTTTAAAAACCCAAAAATATTTCATCCCGTTTTGCTATACCGCGTATATCATTCCTTTAGAGGTCAGGATTAAAATAAAGCAAAGAAAAAAGATATATAATTCTTATTGAGTCCGCATCTTATCTCCAATACCAATCATCATTAATATTTCAATCCTATCACTTTCTGTTAAACGCATTTTGTAAAAAAAGTTGCAAATAATAAATTGCTTAAATAGTTTTCACGTAAACGTGCCTTCTGCAAAGCGTAAACAATACAGATTTCTACCTTAATATTTCTGACAGTTTTTAACGTCAACTGAAAAAAAATTAAAAAATACTGTAAACTATTAAAAATATAGGTAAAAAGAAATAAAATAAGACGATTTACAATTAATTTAATTTTATCACCAAAACGACCGGTTTCGCATACTACAATTTACTATGCATCTTCAAGTCTAACGGTACCAGGTATATTAAATGCTGAAATAACAAAAACCAATATTGGGGTGTTGTCATAAAGATATCAGTTACAGTAATTATGTCAATATTATATGTCTGTCATTATTAATATGAATAAAAATTGATGAAGCAGACAAAAGTAAAAACCCACAAATTGGCATCAGATAATCTAATAAATTGAAATAAACTAGTAAATAAACAAAATACTACTTACATGCCGGTACAAGAATTATTAATTAGTGATTTCGAAAACCTAGTTCAAACTATCCTGGATTGCTGGTGATGGGTGATGATCGGTTTTATTGTAACTGTTTGACTCTTAGCGGGGAAGTTCTTGAGGGAAGTGATATTACCAATTGAAATAGGAAGTAGGTATTAGGTATACAAATATAAATGTATATGTTTTAAGTGTTTCGGGAAGATAATGTTAGCACTGGTTTGTATTTAATCAATATTGTTTTTAGCTTGGTGCATCTGAATCCTTACCCTGAATATGCTGATAAACTCTTAGTAATTTTAATATTTTTTGGATAGGATACAAAAATAAAATACAATAATTAATTTAAGTAAAATACATGTTAATATATTATACTTCTTAGGATTCATCACTGTCTTCCTCTATTATAGGTATGTCACCTGTATTGTCAAACAGTGTAAGATTAATGATTTTTGCCAAATATCTTCCATGTTATAAATAGTATAGCAAGGTAGCCACATGCGAATAACAACCTTCTACCTGTTGCCATTTGCTCACCTATAGCAGTATTATTTAACACTCCAAACCATGATGCAAATAACATTTATAGGTTTTGCTGTTGATGTCAAACCAAATTATTTCTTGCAGCTCTTGCAATAACTTAAATCTAAGTTAACGTCTTCGTAGATTATTTCAGAAGATATTGCTTGGTGTAGTTAATACGATCGAGTAAAGAATATTTTCAATTCTTTTATTAACAGATCAGGATCAACTTTTGGCGACAAAAAAAATAAATAAATAAACAGATAGTATTTAAAGGTGATAAAAGATGGAAAAATTAAGCAAAAACGCCAAACAACACAAAACAACTCTGAAAACTTATCTGATTATGAGAATTCTCATGTTATTTTATAAAATAATTAAAAACATGCTCTTTAATGACATAGAAAGGTAAAAAAAGTTAAGTAAATTTAGTAAAAATCCCCGAATAATCCTTTAATGGATCTCAAAAATGTACTTTACGATGCACAAACTCGCAAAACCCCGTTTAACCAAATAAAAAAAAAAGTTTTTTGGGGGTTCAAAGGTGTTTCCCTCTATTTTTGTTGAATGTCGTAAAGGAGTTAGTGACTTCCAATTTTATATAACCTATTAAAAAACCTTGATTTGATCTATTTTGAACTTTATAAAATGGGGAAATCCCCAGGCACCACCAAAATCCAATTTTTGAGGTTTCTATTCTACTGGAGAATTAAAATGTTTATCTTCTTTTAACATATTTTGCATGTTTCAGGTATAACTTCGAACGTCTGTGTAATTCACTTTCACGTGTTGAACGATTTATTGATTGGAGAAAACCTATCCCTGAAGCTTACTTTCCAAAATTGGATAGTTTAGTGGCAAGCAGAGGTTGGCCTTCTCGAGTGGCCAACCAGACCTGGGCCAATCTTCGACGAGAAACTGATCAAGTAACTCAAGATATTGATGACCTTGAAAGGTGGAGAGACCGTGTTTTTGAGGTGATTCACAGTGGACGAGCGAGAAGGGTAAATTTTATTAGTTAAAGTATAATTTTATTTTCATATTTCTATACATGTTTATACAATTTCATTTTCATATATATGTATTCTCTGTATATTTTAGGCTAATGGAACTTTTGTTGAACTTACCGAAAATGAAGGAATTGATATATTGGGAAATATTATCGAGTCAAGTATTCTGTCTCCAGATCGAGATTTTTACGGAGATTTACATAACATGGGACATGTTTTTACATCTTATGTGCATGACCCCGATCATAGACATCTTGTAAGTAACCGATTTGAGATAATCTTTTATTCTTAACTAAAAAAAAAATAGATATTATTATGTACATCTTTACTTTAGATGCAAAAAAACGCAACGGGTAAAATTTTGGTCATATTCAAAGTATTTCAATTTTTTTATTTTTAACCCTATTTTGATCATTTTTTAGCACACTGTGTATAAATTTATAAATTTTAATTTGGTGTAGTCAGTTTTTCAATAAAATTTTATATTTGACTTATTCTACGGGGTTAATTAAAACGTGGTTTTATTATGATAACTTTGAAACATCCTGTGAAATAATTTCATTTGCGAATTTTCTTAAAGCATTATTTTTCGATTGAACCGAATGAACTTGCCACCCACAATTTTGGACTTTTTTATTCATAATTATTTTGGTGTTATTTTGTAATACGACGAGGTGGCTTTGGTGACTGTTATCATTATATTATATTGACACTTACATTTTATTTCCCCGTGATTGGTCATGGCTCTTAGTGTCATTGTGTGAAAGCCGTTACTCTGGTTGAAGATGCAACGTAAAAGTTACTACCACATAAGTCGTGAGATGCTTACGACAAGGAATATGAAAAATTACAGCACTGGATGACAGAAAAACATGTAGAAAAACATATAGTAGAGTCTTGTCTAGAGAAAATATTTAAAAATTATTCACGAAGCAGCGAACAAAATATTTTGAATGAACAAATTAGCATTATATTTGGTGGGTGTCGACGACAATAACTTGTAAATATATTAATGGATTCGATCGTTACTTGATGGAAATTCATTTTATGTAACAATAAAACACTGAAACCTTTGTTTTCAAACTTCCACAAAATTTATTATAAATCCTATCACTACAGCTGTTTCGGCTGATTGCCTTTCTCAAGTGATGTATTTTTGGCTTGGGTTTACAAAATTATAGTTTCTAATGAAATAGGTTGAGGAGGGGATAACTATTTGTCTCAAGTTGGTCATTCAGAATTATATCTGTGTTTTTTAATTTGTTGATTTCCATAGATTTTAACAAAGATAGCTTAAGGCCTTTATTTTGAATGTGAAGAATTTTAAATTTGTCATTAAAAGAATGATTATGATCTAGAAGGTGAAGTGCGTATGTCGAATCTGTTTTTCTATTCTTGAAAGCCCTTTTATGTTCTGCTATTCGTTTATCAAAGTTTCTACCAGTTTGACCGATGTAAGTTTTTGGAGAGTCGCCACATTGAAGTTTGTACACACCACTATTTAGGTAAGTGTTTTTTATCTTGGCTCTTGTTATTTTTAATATATTTGCCTAGGTTGTTATTTGTTCGGAAAGCTGGTGTTATTCCTTTTTTTTTATGTGTTTGGCAATTTTTATTGTTATTTTGCCTGTATATGTTATCGAGCAGAAGGTACTGGGTTTTTCTCTGGTGGTGGAAATACTAATTTCAGGGCTTTTTTGTGTAGTTTTTGATTTAACATTTTATTAATTGTTTGTTCGTTGTATCCGTTGTTTACTACTATTTGCTTAATTATATTTAATTCTGTCTCAAAGTTGTATTTTGACATCGGAATTTCTATTAATCTATGTAACATACTATGATAAGCTGCCAGTTTATGTTGTGTTGGATGGGATGATGAATTGTGTATAGTCGTGTCAGTATGGGTAGGTTTATGAAATATGGAGAAGTCATGTTTGTTTTGAAGTCTGCTAATTTTTAAATCTAAAAAATTATTTTTTATTTTGGCTCTTGTTATTTTTAATATATTTGCCTAGGTTGTTATGTGTTCGGAAAGCTGGTGTTATTCCTTTCTTTTTTATGTGTTTGGCAATTTTTATTGTTATTTTGCCTGTATATGTAATCGAGCAGAAGGTACTGGGTTTTTCTCTGGTGGTGGAAATACTAATTTCAGGGCTTTCTTGTGTAGTTTTTGATTTAACATTTTATTAATTGTTTGTTCGTTGTATCCGTTGTTTACTGCTATTTGCTTAATTATATTTAATTCTGTCTCAAAGTTGTATTTTGACATCGGAATTTCTATTAATCTATGTAACATACTATGATAAGCTGCCAGTTTATGTTGTGTTGGATGGGATGATGAATTATGTATAGTCGTGTCAGTATGGGTAGGTTTATGAAATATGGAGAAGTCATGTTTGTTTTGAAGTCTGCTAATTTTTAAATCTAAAAAATTTATGGATTGATTTTGTTCTGTTTCTATTGTAAATTCCATGTGACTATGAAGTGAATTAATATATGATAAAAATTGGTCGAGTTGCCTGTTAGTTCCTGTGAAACATACCAGTACGTCATCTACGTATCTCCACCAATATAAAAACTGTTTGAATACGGGATGTTTTGAAATCAGTACAGATGTGTGTAGTGAAACTAAGAATTCCTGTTACAAAGAGAATAAAACAGTAATTTCAATTAAAAATAAATCAATAGAAAACAACATTGTGTTGCAAAAGCAGACAAAGGTAACACTACTATTGCTATAGATAAAATAGAATATAATAACAAAACAATAGAATTCTTAAATAATTCTCAATTCAAACACAGATATAATTCTGAATGACCAACTTGAGACAAACAGTTCTCCCCTCCTGAACCTATTTCATTAGAGACTATAAATTTGTAAACCCAAGCCAAAAATAGATCACTTGAGAAAGGCAATCAGCCGAAACAGCTGTAGTGATAAGATTTAAAATAAATTTTGTGGAAGTTTGAAAACAAAGTTTTCAGTGTTTTATTGTTACATGTAAATATATTGGTTACTCACATAGAAGCGACAAGAACTGATAAATAGCGTATTTTTACAATTAGTCACGAAAATGAACTGAAGAGTTTGAAGTTAGTACGGGATTACATGTCTTTACGACCCTGTGATTCTTCAGAAAAAAGGCGGTTGATGAAAGATATTTAGAGGACAGCAGATCTTTAAAGAATGAGTGTCAAGAATTATAGCAGACATACCTTCTGGATCCGATGTTTCCTTACAGAAACTTGACATAGAAGCTATGAAACATGAGCCAACGTTTGCCGCGGGTAATCAAAATATCTCCGGATCCTTTAAGAATTGCCAGTTTTATGTGAATTTTGTAATATTTAAGATATATTGATTTAAATTATACATTTTGTCCACCAGAATGAGATCTACAGCTTTTCATAATTCATCTAAGATTTAGTGTTCTCTGTATCATATTTTCCTCCTTTTACATTTTTCATATAATTTTCATTACACTTATTAAAGATTTAATCAAACTATTGTGACTTAACCACTCAGCGACACTTTGGTTTATTATTTTTATTCTCTGATATAAACTCATAGTCACATGTCCAACTATCCATCCTGCTCTTGAATGGTTACAAATTATAGCGTAAAGTTGAATCACATACTTTATTTTATTGTGAAAGCCTCCGATTTAATTTAACTTGTAATAATAATAATATTCATCATCATCTTTGGCTCGACAACCCTCTCTGGATTCTGGCCTGATCAAAGATTCGTTGACATTCTGTTCGGTTCCTGTCAACGTGTTGCCATCTTCTGATGACTAGTATTCATAAGTCGATCTTAACTCTATCTAACCACCTTATTCGCGATCGGCCTCTGCTTCTTCTTCTCACAGGTGTATCTGTCGATAGCTTTTTGCAATCATGTTGTTAGACTTTCGTATTATGTGTCCAGCCCATCTAAGTAGCTGTGTTTTAATAAACGTTACTACATCTGGTTAATTAAAGGTCAGAATATTAATGGTATTCCTATTTCTTACAACACTCGTTCTGTCTATTATTAAGTCAAATATTTGTCGTGTTTGTTCCATAGTAAATTTTACTGCTTTTAAACAATTTGTACTGTCATGGTCCCCTTTATAAAAAAACACACCTGCAAACCTTATAATTTATGAACGCAGCAGCAGTCGCTACGGGCTGATCAGTACCTTGCTTAGATTATTACAATTTTTTAATGACAACAAGGCTATTGGATATATGTATTTATATTTATAGTCGGTACATTAAAACCTTCTATTGTCAAATCAATGTTTTTTGTTCACTCTATTCTGTGAAAAGCTCATTAATCCACTCAATCTTAAAACGAAACAAGAAGGCCGTAAAAACTGAAGTTATAGTCATAGTCGAATCATATCTTCTGTCAGTAGTTATGCCTATGTTCTCAAGTGAACGAATTTGACTTTTAATTATATCATAAAGTTCAGAAATATCACAAGGACTACAAGAAACTCAACTCGAAATTAACTTTTCTCTAATATCTACTTCATTCTGAAGATCCTCTGCCAAGCCTAGTTGGCTAACTCTAAATAATATTTGATTAATTATTAACTACTGCAGAAAAACTCTCCACCAAGCGTTTGAACTTACTGCCCTATACAGCAGCTTGTCTAAAATAAGTCATTTTATTGTTTATATTAATTGATGGATCATCATGCACTACTTTTAACTAAGACCAAAAGAGAAATTAATCTTTCAAGCCTGCTTTTTTTTGTCTTATTGTCTTATTTTTTTATTTGCGCTCACGTTTAACATTTGATGACACTGAAATTATTAGGTCTTTAATTATATTTGAACTTAAGTTGATAGTACTGTGAAGTTTATTTAGTTCTAATTTATTTGTCTTTATTCTAATTTATTGTCTATATTCTAATTTATTAAAACTCACGATAGCTAATTACTAATTTATTAAATAACTTTACAAATGTATTTATTTCACGTTTCGTTACATTTAAATATCGCGTTTACCGATCTTCTTATGACTGACTCAAATACAAAAATCTTTCATTTATATACACAACTGTGGTCATCTGGAACTTTCGGCAAACTTCCTGAATAATCTCGTATTTTGGTGAAGGCGCTCGACTCGTTTTTCAACCTCGAGACGTGGATGACTCACTAAAATTAGTGTCTAGAGATTTCTGTAAACAACTGGTAGCGAAGCTCAGGTATATTTTGACCTACAAATTACGAGAATCAATAAAAAAGAATTAGTCATAAAAT